AGAGATCGATAGGCTTTTAATCACAAAAGAGGCTTATTGGAGTGCTCAGTTGTTCTCTTTGGCACCCCATGGTTTGAATAAAAGAAAGGAATTTCATTCGAAAAATAGAATTTGCTATAATTAATTTTCCATCTTATATTAGGCGCTACTAATTGATCGTTCAAAGGCCCTTTTCTTGGATTTTGTCGGCCCTTTAGGTGTGGATTGGACTCAGAGGCCCTGCCAAGGGATCTTATTATGATTAGTATCATTTAAGGGCCCCTCCAGGGATTTTGTTGCTAATTTGCCCTTTCGGGCTCCAAAGGCCTTGTTTTGGGATTTTGTTACGGTTTACAGTTGTAGTTAAAAGTGGGCCTTCCCTTTTTTAATGCTTGCCGCATTGCTTCTTTGCAATTGGTTACGCCACTCATATTAACATATTTAGTATTCTTATCTCTTAGTTTTTAGGGTTTGTTTCTTGTATTTTGTCCATTGCTTTCTTTGTAATTAGGTTTTTTGTTATCTTTTTATTAGCACCAGTTCATTAGCCGTTATCTGTAATTACGTAATCATTAGCGCTTCGATCCTATTTAATGCTCTTTTTTCATTTCAAAAGTTGTAAATAACTGAAGGTCTCTGACCGAAACGTTTTTTTATTAAAATTTGTTATATCTTTTTACGTCAGAAGTTGTCCATCCTCGCAATTTTTTAAACTTTCTACGTTCGTATTGGCTGTGAGGTTTGGACTGCGAATCTTTATTGATCCTCCTGGCGCGGTGCACCTTTGTTGGCCTGAGAGTTCCATTGACGACTTGCGATATATATATATATATAGATATATATGGATGTATAGACTGTGCTCTTTTGCTCTGAACATAACTTCTTTAAAATATCTTGAATTCCCATTTTGTTTCAAACTATAAACAGGGTAGTTCACATACTTTACTTTGCAATTTTTTCAGTCTTTTATATCACGAATTACCATACATATCCTACAAAATATCGAAACTCCAGCCATACCTTTTAAGCCTCTCTGTTTATGTCAAATATTTCCTGAAAACTATTTACCTCTTTCACCCATTTTCCGAGAAGTATATTTATCCTGGGACCATTTGCCTAAAAATAAAATAAAATGAGTCATTAGTCACCGAATAATGTATGATGTATGTATGTATGACCGCCCCCCCCCCTCTCCCACGGGACTTTTCAGGGTCCATACAAACAAACTGGAAACAAGCATTGTAAAAAACTTAGGATCGGTTATTCAAACAAAGTTTAGCCTTTGTTTAACAAAACCGTGTACTAAACTATCTTGAATTTAACTGAATCTTTTATTTGAACGTTTATTTTTGTGAACAGTGTCAAGAAGAGCAAAAGCTAGCAGTGGAAGGACATTTATCAAATGAAAACAACCCTCTTATAGAGAATACGTAAGGCCAACTGCTCGCCTAAAACCCCGGTTTGGGGTAAACCTCGTCTAAATAACGGTCACAGTGTCTGTAAAAATCTCAACTGGTATGAGGACCAGTTGGCTTGGACCCAAGCCACCACATTACAAGCCCACTCGGCCATTTTGCCTCCAATGTCACAAAAAGGAAGGAAAAATGTCGAAAAAAATGCCATTATGACTCTCCGCCGGTCATTGTGTCAAATAAGTTCCCTACCTCTTGGTGAAACTGCGTGACTTGTTTCCCGTAACAAAATTCAAATTTCCACCAGCCAGACCCTCCCTGAAAACAAACACCAGGCGTAAAAAAGAAAAAACCTTACATCACTAGGCATATTCTCCATACTGCTCTCTAAACATTTTCTACGGTATTGATAGGAAGAAATTTCAACCATCAAGAGCTTGGCTTCCTGGATGGGTACAAATTTCCAGTACTCTAATAACCTTAATGCTTTGTTCAGTAGTGGCAATAGAGAGAGAAATTGGCTGGTGGTCACTCTTAGGCGTAAAAGGATTAAAGCAATCTGGAAAAGCATTGCTTTTGCTTCAATTGGCTTGGAGAAAACCACCGCACCCTAAACCCCTCGGGGGTTTAAGAAACGATGACAGTGAATCTTACGATAATCGAAAGTCATTTTGTTTATTTCTCTCTGTCAAAACTATTTCCCAAAACTATTTCGAAACTGAAAATGGAACGTAGCGTCAGACTAGAAATCTAAGTTTAAAAAAATCAAACGTCGCGTTCACGTTCTCCAAACAACGCAAAGTTTGGTCATTTCACGTTGTTGTAGTGCAAAGAACGCCAAGCAATTTACAAAGATTTAAAACGCACGTGCACAGCAATTGTTCTGCTCATTAAACCTCTTGCTTGGTGACGTTCCCGTTACCATTGTCGTCGTGATTTTCTTAAAATCCCTGTTACTAGCGTTTTGGCTCGAGCGGGAAAGTATCATGCACGACTCGCCTCAAATATTCCCGCGGCGGAGAAATGCACGTCCTGTAGCGCTTTTAAGAGAGAATTTACACCGTGTTTACTTGAAATGTGAACGGCAAGAGTGACCATGTGACCTTGTTTGTCCGATTGCACTTTGCCATTTTACTTGAAAGTAACCTCTTTTGCGATTGGCGTGTTACAAGGAATAGTTTTGATGTCCTTTTTCTGGTGTCGATCAACAGAGTACCTAGCCAAGGGACGCTGTCCATGCGCCAAGCAGTGTCGTCATAATAGGTGCAGCCCCACAGTTAAAAACTGTGGACATACCCGTGTTCGGGCTAAAGGCGTATATATATTTCTGGAAATTAACTTTTGCTCAGTGAGAGAAAAAGTGAAGAAAATCTTACGAAGTCGTACAAGGGCGTCTTCAAATCCCCCCCTGACACGAGCTCACGCCAAGCTAAAGCAGCAAGGTTCGCGCTATTTTACGTGAAACGAGAAAGGGCAAGCTGAGTTTGCTGTTTCACGTAAAAAGGATACTAATTTTCTCTATAATGAGGCCTACTCGTAAATTACGCGTGTATCCGCAAAGCTCATTCATGAGTGCCTGCTGATTACTCACACCAACAAGACAATACTCTCCACTTAGGAATGATGCAGTCAGCAGGTTATCAGGCTGGGGTAACATGTTTCTGTGTTCATCTACTGGAACTGGTGACTTGTCATCGTCTTCTGGAGGCTTTTGGAGGAAAAAGAACCACAGAATGAACTATTTTAGTACAGCTGCTCAGGTGGATATAGAGATGGGTGAGCACTGGTTGGTCGGGGATTGCGTCATATCTTGTTATACTCACCTACCTCAAGGTGACTAAAATACTTAAAGAAAAATTTCACAATGGCCACAGACACAAGTTTATGATATTTTTCGGACAAATTACAGTTGGTCTGATATTCACCAGGCTCCGAAATAATATCGAATATTACATATTTTAGAGAAAGATGTTTTCCGTATTGTCACGGGCGTGGGACAAAGAAAAATTTCTGAGTTCCCTCATTCTATTTACAAATACGTGACGCTATCGACAGTAATATCGCAGTAAGCGGGTATATATATATATAAAAATATATACAGTATATCGCAGTAAGCGGGAAGCAAGTCAAATATGAACTTGGTAAAAGGCCTTCCTAACTAAGGAGTCTCTGTGGCTTAGTGGCAGAGCATGGGCACGCAATCCGAAGGTTTGAAGTTCAATTCCTCGTGAGGATTCACAATTTTTTTCTTTTTTGTTTTCTTTGACCCGCGCTCGAAACACGACAAAAAAAAAAACATCTTTCTCTATTTCTTTACCGAGCTCAAAACTTACCAATCTTGCTTACTCCTTCATATATTTTATTACTCGGACTTTCCGAAGGAAGCGCCCGAGTTATAATTCGGCTTCGTCATTTTGTTTTTGTTTAGTTTTTTTTTCGTTCAGTCACAAAACGCAGTTCCACCACAGCGCATGCGTGAAGTGCAAGCGAGTGCGTAGAATGAACCCTAGAGCGCATGGTTTAGAGTAATGGCTGCCTTCGTGGACAATTCCTTGCCTGATAAACGCGAAAGAAATTCGATGGCTATTACGCTCAATATACATACAAAGTCAAACACCGTTCGCGGTAGACTCGCACTAAAACTTGTGGAGCGTTTCACTTACTAAAAAAATCGTTTAATTCAAGACGATATTGTGGTAAAAAACATATCGACAGTGGTTTGAGCGTGGTCTGTACTCTTATCGACAATGATATTCGCCATCACAGTTGTTAAAGTACGACGGTTGCAGACTCACTCGGCTGCGCCACGTGAGTCTACAACATTTTGACCACCTGTGATGACGAATATCGTCGTCTATAAGAGCACAGACCCCGCTAAACCTTTGTCGATTTGTTAACTACACAACAGACATGGTAAATAACGTGTTTACAAGCCATATATTAGTCCACAGTGACAATAGAATTAGTAATTGAGCCAGCGATTCCAGGAGTAAACGAGTTGAAAGACTCTGGAACTTGTTAGAAAAGAATAAATTGCCACATTTTCACTTGTTCTATGATCATGAAAAAAGAAAACACTTGTAAACAAGTTTTAGGAGGATTCAACAAACATAATTCACTATTCATTTTCGAGAACATTTGAAATAACCATACGCAAAGAGGAACACCTATTGTACGCTAACTTGCTGTATATCAAATGCTCTCTTACCATGAATCCCTCAACACCGAATTTCTCGTCCATCAATTCAGAATAACTTTTGGGCTCACTACAGACAAAAATTAAAGAACCGTCATTCATAACACCTCAAGGCCTAAGAACTTCAGCTACCACAAAGCTACCCTAATCTTAAGAAGGAACTTGAAGGGAAATTTAATTTTCTCGCCATGAACGTCGCACTACCAATCAACGATGTCTACAAAGAAAATTGATCGTCACGTTCGGAATTAGCTTCACCAAATTTGCATGAAAATTGCCCGCTACAAATTCTTTTATTTCAAATCCATCGCGACATCATGTGTCTCGGCTACCTTAATAATCTACATTTAAAATTTCCCCTCCTTTGAACGGCAAGAAAGTAAGCAAAACTATGACTAAGCACAGCCTCGTGAAATCAGTTTCGCTCTGCCTTCGGCAGTTCCCATGTATCAACATATACTCTTGATAGTTAATAATAACAGAGCAGTTTTCAACAGAGAGTCGAAATACCAAAATTAAAGTTATCACAGCAGCCAATCACAGTTGAGAAAAATCTGCCTAATACGTGAGAAAACGCCGGCGATCAAGTCGATGGTTTTACTTTTAAATCTGATTGGCTGAGAGAGTGGCGTGAGTGTTCTGAACCAATCATAGAGCGAAGTGACGCACTAATCAAAGAAATCCATGGATAACTTGCGACACTCCATTGGAATTTGCTCTGTTTACTATTTTTCTGATGGATCGTCGCGATTGCTTTCGTTTTAAGATATTGAAATGAAAACTAATCTGACTAGTCATGTTATGACCAACGACTACTCACTCAGGCGAACCGTCCAACGAGTGGCAACTTATGTGATGCACAGGCTTCTCACGATAGCTAAAACAAAGAGGAAATTAGAATTACAAACAGCGGCGACAAAGAAAACCTTCCACTGACTTCCAACAGTACTGATGGCGTGCCACAGCTGTAACTTATTTAATCGAGTTGGCATGTCGGTTTTAAATCATTTTATTAAAAGGATTTGGGGTTGCCAAGCCTTTAAAAGGAAGTGAGGCTAAGGGTGACCTTGTTATGATACAAATGTTGCTGCTTACCAATTGGAAATTACTTTGTTATAATGTTAACTAGATACTGGTCTCTATCATAGCAAGGTCGCCTTCAGCCTCACTCCAAATCAAAGGCTTGGCAACTAAGCACACAATTGCAAATGGTCTGCGGGAGATCATTTCCACTATTCCTATGACCTTTACAATGGATTCAAGGGTTATATTGTAAGGAGAAATTAGACGGCCATCACTCTTAGAGGTCCAAAAATTATCCATTCCCGTTTCATTCTGGTATCCTTGTACCTCTTTTGTGTTTTTCCTTCGCAAATTATCATTTTCACTAACTTCTTTATCGTTTTATTAACTTTCTTTCATCTTTTGATCATTTTTCCTATTCAAAGCTAACGACTGTTAACCAACTGCCAATGAAGAGGGGAGGGGGTGGTGGGGTCATAAGAATTTTACAGAGCCTTATGTGGAGGAGGGGTCAAGTAAATTTTATCGTAACACAACCACGTAACACAACCCCCTCGGCGATAAATAATAACCTGTTCCCTTCTAATTTCAAAATAATGCTTCTAGTCTATTAGGTTACTGAGACTTTCGAGGCACAAGCTACCGGAGTCGTATTCCAAGGATGAAATAGAAGCTAACCTGTATGCTGGGTTGGCACAAATAAGTGGCGTTAACACTTCAACCTCGTAGTGACAAGTATGAATCTCTTTGACAGAAATAATCTGATGATCGAAACAGAAACATAATTTTGTATTGTTACGTTACTAGACAGAAGTTCCACATCAGAACTCTCAAGCTTGGGTTCTCAATCCTTAAATGCGGTAAGTTAAAAAAAAAAAAAAAACTGTCACAGTGGTGCTGCGTTTGTGGAAAGTATCCAAAGATAATTTGGTTTTATCAACTGAGGGGATTATGTTAACTGGCCAACGTAAACAGTTTCAAAAGCTGACGTTTCGAGCGTTAGCCTTTCGTCAGAGCGAATAGAAACAACCAACGCTCGAAAAGCCAGTTTTAGAAAATCTTTACGGTAAATATAAAATATAAAACCAAATTTTCTATTCTTACCCTATTCTTGGAGGAAAACAAAACAAATCAGTGCTTTAAATAACAACACAACCTACGCACAGATGCTTAGAAAATAAAAACTCCACAGCTTTGGGATGTTATCTTCTTACTTACAAGACCAAATCACAAGTCATTACCCAAAGCTGTACAGTAGCTCGACAGGAGAATTACGGGGCAGATTACGTGAATAAAAGTTAACAGTTCTCTGAGGACCTGTATAACTATTCGAAAAAGTTATATGAAACACAAAATATACACAAACACCTCAAGCACTTGCGATTACGGTTCATTTGTCGGATTTACAAAAAAGGCATTGTTCTAAGCTTCTAAATTTCGAAAGATTACACCACCAATTTTTTCGGTTTCGACATGAACGTGTGTAAGAGAAAAATGCACCCGAAAAAGAAACACGTGGGATTCACCTGAACGTGAGAAAGACGTTAACACCGAAAATCACACTATACAGCTAAACCGACACAAAATATCAAAACCTAATGCAATGAAAAATCTCATGATATCAAGTAAAAAGACATACTTCGGCGACCGGTTGATTGAAAAAAACTTGAATAGGCGAATAAATTGAACTAGTAGACATTAGTGACAAGAATAA